ACAAAAATCAATTACAACCAAGTTCCATGTTTGTTAGGAAATTGTTATAATGCTAGAGTTATTGAGGATCTACCTCTCCTTCAAGGATTGATTCGATAAACCAAGCTGTCATAATCCTTCTTGATTCACAGACCAAAATATTACAACGGAAGTCTATCATTTGTGTAAAGTGTTCCAGTTTCGGTTGGGATAATACTGTATATACTCTGAAAATGATTGGTTTATTACGAATGGAAAGAAGGAATGTTGTTGTCTGAAATAACCCTTAAAATTCAGTTGCTAGGCAAATTTATTGGAGGAGGATCATCAAGTTGAACATTCGCAGCATACGCTCCGAATCTCGCGCGCAACCATGGCCAGTACTGTCGTTTACCAGGAATTCTGGCCCTTTCATGTGAGGGAGAGGAAGATTCCAATAAAATATGAGATACTTAGAAACTCAACATATCAGGGGCAATAATCAGGACAATACATATGACGATGAAGAAGACGAATGCCACCAACGAGGCCCACCACAGCCTGGCTTCCCATTTATGACGCCGAAAATTCCGTAGAATCACTACACCCAATAGGTTTCCAGCCACGAATCCTCCGATATGGGAGACGTATGATACCTGAACAGGTCGATTCATCAGGGATAAGCAGTGGGTGCTACTTACGGAACAACCTTACCCTGTCTACCCTGTCGACGAAATATCGTTGATAGACAGACACGGCCGTATCAGAGCCTATTAAAATCACCAGAATTATAGCTCGGATCCAATTGAATTCCATCTGAATACGATCAAAGTTATAACTTTACAATTACAAATGTAATACAGTGATACCTCTTACCTCTCTCCAGTTCATTATGAGCTCAGCTTGATGTGCAGCAAGAAGGGCATAGACACCTCCAGAAGCACCGGCGAGGAAGACGTGAGGATCTACTGCTGACACCAGTAACGAGCCTGAAAGCAGTACGATTCAACTCCACAGCTTTACGGTTTATACGTTTTCCTTCTGCTGCACGGCATGTTGTAAACATAAATATAAACATAAACAAACAAAATGAAACCCCATTCAGAAACTGACCACAAAGAACTCCAGCTAAATAGACGACGATTACACGCCATTGATGGACGAGTTCAAGCGGTAAACCGAGGAGAATATTGTAAAGGGAAAGAAGGGCAATAAAGGAAAATTTTGGAATAAAAAACCTATTACTAGTTATACTTCCATGCTATAGAGACCATATGGCTTCGCTTTGAATCCTACGTCTTCATGATTCACTCGAGCTCTTTGCAGAGAGAGATATCTGTTAAAAATACTCACCAAAGTGCAAAATTCCGAGACATCAATAAGTTTGTCGCCATTTTGATCGATATTCGAGATCATTGTGACAACTTCGTCTGGATTCAAACCGAACGAGAACGCCGAATCACGAATAGCTCGTTTCAGATCCGTTGTAGGAATGTAGCAGTCGTGATCCAAATCGAACTGAAGTGTAGAGAGATTTCCAAAGCTATGGGAACAAAAAAATCAATAATTGTCAAAAATTATGCGAAAATTGAAAATCAGGTTTGCCG